AGAGAGAGAAAGAGAAAGAAAGAAAGAAAGAAAGAAAGAAAGAAAGAAAGAAAGAAAGAAAGAAAGAAAGAAAGAAAGAAAGAAAGAAAGAAAGAAAGAAAGAAAGAAAGAAACTCACACAAATACCCCAATTGCCTTGGGATAGCCACTAGCAATAGCTTGGTAGAATAACAGTGCAAAAATGTATGGAGGCTTAGCTCAGTGGGTTGGTGCATCGAGGAGTTGGGAACTTGGACTCTCCACTGGGCTCCCCAGGAGAGAGGCCAGCAGGAATCATCCTAAAGATATGTGGCTCGTGGGATTACCTGCCTTGCCACTTGTGGGGCCTTGGGTAAGCTGGAAGATCCCACAACAGCAGCCCCAGAAGGAAATTGCTTCCCACTTATGGTGACTCTAATAGGATTTCCTAGGTATGTTTAAGGTGCAGTTCTACCAGTGTCACTATCCAGTGAGTGTCTTCAGCAAAGGGGAAATTTTGAACCCAGGTCTCCTGAGTCCTAGTTGGCCACTTTATACCAACACTATGAGGGATGCCAAAATATGAATCAACTTGACCCCAGATCCTCATTACTGGCATATTCTCAGTGACCGTTGCCAGATAGGGAGATGGCGACCATCCTGAGTTAGAAAATGGAGCACAAAACAAGGGAGAGCTATTTTGAGAGCAGGCCCTACTCTTGGGCAGGTTGGAAGCTTCCAGGCCTCCCTTATTTACCAAATGGAGCCACAGTCTGAGAGGTAGGACAGTGGCGGTTCACGGCGGCTCTGATTCTGTATTGACCTGGGAGTAATCCCTATTGCCTATTCTCTGGATCAAATTTACTTCCTAGTAGACATGCCTAGGATTGCATTGATTTTTCAAAAGTCCTATATCTGCACACGACTGTGGATTTTCCCTTTGGACGTAGGCTCCAGTGTTTCCAAATTTCAGTCACTCACAGGCAATCCTTTCCTCTTAAAAATAAAATTCCACACTACTTTTTTTGAGGGAACTTTAGGCGCTAGGAGGAGGGATGTATTTTAGCCACTTTTTATGACACAAAGTGGCTGGGGATGATGGGAGGTGCCATCCAACACATTTGGAGGGTGCTGGGTTGGGGACTAATCAAGAAAATAGGTAGCCTTGACTTCCAGTTCCCATCATCTACGAGCCTAGAGGTGGTTTAAATCCAGATGGGCCTTCACCGAACCCGTTTAAGATTCTTTCCGATGGACAAGGGCTCTCTCTCACTGCGAGTTGTCCATTATGTTAAAAAGAAAGAAAGAAAGAAAGAAAGAAAGAAAGAAAGAAAGAAAGAAAAGGAAAGGAAAAATAAAATAAAATCTCTGTGCCGACCAAAATCGGGACTGAACTCAGGAAGGCCCTGGAGTCAGAACTACCCTAATCCACCGGATCCATTGACTTACCCAGGGGGCTTACTTCCTCCTTTCGTGGTAGATGACACTGATGATTGGGTGGAAGTGGGTTTGGAACAAGCGGATAGATTTTGCCCCCCCCCCCAATCCACACTGGTAAGCTGTCGTCTCTTTGGTTTAATGCATTTTTTCCTCATGCATAATGCACTGTAACAATGAACCCTAGAAAGAATAACAGCAACTTCCTATTTAAAATAGGGCACCCCATTGCATTTCCAAACAACAAAGGAGAGAGTGGATTTGTGCATAATCTTTTTTCTTTCTTTTTGTGAAAAAGTGTCCTTTTTTATATTTATATTCAAGCAAGCTGCTGCTGCTGCTTCTAAAAGGCCTGCTGTACATTATAAAGTCAGTTTCAGAGGACGCACCGACCACAGTGCTGTGTTTACATTCTTTTCAAGGCAAGCCTGCATGGACGTAATTTATAACCTAAACACTCTAAGGTAACTTGTTTATACAGAGAATGACAAGACCTCAAAGACCGAAAAACTAAAGTTACCCAAACGAGTGCTCCTGCGAGGAATCACTGCCCCCTAGTGGGCTGAGGGGGCAACTGGAAGAAGTTCCTTTAACTTGAGACAACAATTACACCTTAAATGTACGGGCGCAAAACCAGCGGAAAGCAAAGGGAATTGTTTCATTTATTCGTACGATTTACTCTGATGGACTGTTTGCTAAACCATGCCTTTCCCCCAATACTGTTACTAAAAATAAAGACGAGGAGAACCGCCTAGAGTGGTCTTAATCAACTAGATAGGCGGGATATAAATAAAATAAATAAATAAAAATAAAAAATAAATCATCTGGGACACCTTGAGACCCTTGGATATGTGTGTGTGGCTGGGTATGCGTGTGTGAAGAATCGGGTTGACACATTAAAGTGATGTGTTTTTTTACAGGATCAGTTTCCTAGAAAGTTCTTTTTTTATTTATTTTGCAATATTTGAATCCTGTTTTTCCAATGTAAGGAAACCTTCCATGGATCAAGCAAATATGCTATTTAGCTCAGCATTCGGTTCTGATGCCAACGGGAAGCCCACCAGCACAATAGGGCCTTCCTGCATGTGTTATAACAACTGGCATCCTGTGATGCTGGGGGCAATCCATTGCAAGCATGGCTTGTAATTATTGATGATTTCATTTTCCATACATCTGAGGAGGTGGACTGTAGTTTACAAAAGCTTGTGCCAAATGGAACCTGCAAGTCTATCAGGCACCAAAAGACTCTGCTGTTTTTTTTGTTTGTTTTTTGTTTTTTTGCTGCAAGAGAATAACATGGCTAACCCACCACCACCCATGCATATTTATCACAAATGTTTTGTGTCTTCTCTCTCTTTATAGCTGCCTAAGTTAGAAGATTACATTGCATCATGTGGTAGAAACTTTGATCTTTGTTCACAGTAGTAACATCAAAAGTAGAGGCAGATCATATGGCTGGGGCAGCTGCTGATGGTGGTGGTGGTGGTTGTGATGATGAAATTTCCAATCCACCTTTCTTCCAAGGGTCTCAAAGCATCCTAGTTGGTCCTCCTCCTCTTCCTCACTTTTTAGTAATGGCCTTGTGGAAAGGCATGGCTTAGCTACCATATATTTCAGTCTCTCTGTCAGTTATTTCAGCCGTTTTGAATAGGCATCCTCTGGTTCTTCGCCAAATGTTGCTGAACTGTATCTCCTATCAGCCCTAGTCAGCACAGGCTATCATGAGAAGAGATGAAGTTCAGGACCGGCAACATCCGGAGAGCCACACATTCTCCCTTCTTGCTCCCATCTTCGTTAGGCTGATATCCAAGTACTGTACTATGGTTCCTGTCTACGTAATATGCAGAAGAAAATAAGAAACTGCCTTCTACTGAGTCAGAGTGTCCATCTAGCCTGGGTATTATCAAATTGGGCTGACAGCAGATATCTAGGGCTTCAGGCAGGATTCTTTCCTAATCTGACCTTGAGATTCCTGGTATTCCCTGGTAGTCTCCCATCCAAATACTAACTACTTTGCTTCCAAAATCAGTTGAGACACAGTGTGTTCAGGGTGATATTCCACCTCTAGCATTTCAAGATGCTGTAGCCACTCACTACAATAGTAACTGGAAAGTGGCACTTATACCACAAAAGGAATGAAGTTTTTCCTTGTTAAAAACTAGAAGCTATATTTGTAATGATGTCTATGTTCCTGGAATTAATTCCACTAGCTAGTTATAACAGTTATTTATAATTAGGTATACTGTATCTGAGTTCAACTGGCTGAATAGGCCAATGTGTTGGGTGCCTGACTGTGGAGCCAGATTCCCCACAATGTCTTCTGGGAGAAGGGACAGTGCATAAGCTACAGATTCCCAAGGAGCCTCCAGAAGAAGGGAATGGTAAACCATATCTGAGCACTGTATACTTAAAAAAATTCACTATAAGTCTGAATCAACCTGATAGCACATATTATTATTACTTCCAAGCTTGGGGTATCAATAGCTCACAGTCTGGA